GACTTGTCTGAAAGAAGAAGTTCTGCTATATCTGCTAATCTAATGTTTTAATATATAACAAGTTTTCGTAAACGCAATCTTCGCCTTAAACGTCCAACCACTGGGACATTTACCTTAGATGGATTCTATTTTCCAAGTTTCTTTCTTAGTACAACATATTCTAATTTTTACAATAATTGATATTTATTTACCCAGTTTTTAATGCTCATTTAATTTCCATAAAGAAATATAACCTGTTCTATTTTAAAAAAATCACTTAGACCTTCGGAACTTTATGTGTAAATAATGTGGAAAAAATATTTTTACTCTAAAACCGGGTACCCACCAAGCGAGCTCGTGTTCAACTGAAATGCTCGTCCTACGTCCACACTGAAACGAATTCATTTCTGTTCGCAATTGATCCGAACACTGACCGCGAGCAGATTGTGAAATAATGAATAGGAAGGAATTAGTACGAGCAAGTTCTGGTTTTATTGTACTAAAGTTAAGTGCAAAAAAGAAAAACGAAAAAAAAAAAACAGATAAACGATGGTGGCAAACTTCACAGTTTAACACTAAACGTACCAAGCGAGGTCAAATGACACCTTTCAAAATTTACTTTAAAATCGTACATTCATTGTTATTTCTTTCGCTCATCTGACTTTCTGTAAATTCTTATACTATTCCGTTTATCTCGTAGCTTATTTTTTACCGAGAAAAATTCTTTGCATACCTTATGTACCACGAGGGGCCATTTGACCACTAACGAAATTTACGTATTTTTCTGTACTTCTCCAACTGGAACCTTAGTTCTGGACTCAGATACTAAGTTCGAAACATAAATGTGTCAAAACCAAAAACAATAGAAAACGAACACCCGAAACAATTAGTTATAAAACTAAATTTCGCGTCGATATAATTGACCAAATGGCGCGAAATTATAGCGTCAAATCAAAATGCAATAGATGGCCTGTACACGAATTTTTCAATATCCTGGATTTCGCTGGAATCAATGCATGGATACTCTATCAGGCAACAACTGGAATAAAGTTACCAAGACAGCGTTTCCTGTTACAATTAGCAGATGAACTCGTCACAGAGTATCACGAGTTTCTTAAAGAAGAAAAGGAAAACCTAAAAGAAGGAACATCAAGCAGGCCAAGCAATAATTCCCAATCACGAAGAAAATGCCAAATAAGATTGTGCATGCACCAGACAAAGAGATATGGAATAAAATCCGCTCTATAAACAACAACAAAAAATACATGAAAACTCCACCTATCCTTAAGACAGAAAACACATATACATGCAACTCCTTGGAAGCAGCCAATCTTCTAGCTCAAAATTTTGAAACAAATTCAAGCGATGACAATTATAACCAAAACTTTTTAAAAATAAAAACAGAAGCAGAAACACAGCAAAACTATTTCAACGAAACAGAAGCAAACAGCAGTTCAAATATCTTAAATAAAGAATTTTCACTATCAGAAATGCAAAACACTCTCTATTCGTGCAAAAACACCAGTGCTGGACCAGACAATATACCCAACATCTTTTTGAAAAATCTACCAACCTCAGGACTACAATACCTTTTAATTATTTTCAACAGTATATGGCAAAAGAACATTTTCCCGAACAAATGGAGAGAAGCAATAGTTGTTCCTATACCAAAACCAGGCAAAAACCCAAGCCTCAAGGAAAACTATAGACCTATAGCATTAACCTGCTGCATGTGCAAACTTATGGAGAAGATGGTCAATAACAGGCTCAAATGGTATCTAGAATCCAGAAATCTAATCTCTCCACAGCAACATGGATTCAGGCAATTTCACTCCACAACCGACAGCCTCATTACTATAGAAACAGCTGTTTGCGAAGCTTTCATCAATGACCAACACCTAGCACTTGTCGCGTTAGACATAGAAAAAGCATACGACATGGTCTGGAAACATAGAATCATTAAACTACTTGCAAAAAACCAAATAAATGGACATATGCTCAATTTTGCAATTAACTATCTAAAAAATAGGACCATTCGAGTAAGAGTAAATGGGCAGCTTTCAGAGTTAACTGAAATTCAAAACGGTGTACCACAAGGAGGAGTTATAAGTGTCACCTTTTTCTTACTAGCCATCAACGATATCATGCAATCTCTCCCTACTCCTATCAAATGTACAATGTATGCAGATGATGTAACTATTATGATCGCAGGAAAAAACATTAATACCACTCAACAAATTCTTCAAAATACACTAAACAAATTACAGTCGTTCGCCAATAATACCGGATTCAAATTCTCACAGTCTAAAACCACAGTCACCGTCTTAAAAAAAAACAACAAAAACAAAAACAAAGTAGAAATAGAACTATTTTTAAACAATCACAAGTTACCGGTATTAAAAGAAGTGAAAATACTTGGATTAATCCTTGACGAAAAACTAACATGGAAAAATCACATATTAAACCTTAAAGATAGCTGCAGCAAAAGGCTTAATCTTTTAAAAGTATTAGCTTCAAGAAAATGGGGAGCAGAACAAGAAATAATTAAAAAGACTTATCAAGCATTAGTTCTATCAAAATTAGACTACGGATCAATTGCTTACATCTCGGCAAAATCAAAACTACTACAACTCTTAGAGCCTATACAAAATACAGCAGCAAGACTAGCTACTGGCGCCTTTCGAACCAGCCCAGTAGAAAGTATACTATGTGAGGCAAACCTTATCCCGCTCAAATTCAGAAGAAAAAAATTATGTTTGAATTACGCTGTTTCTACCTCAGCTACACCACAAAACCCAATTCATAATCTGTTACAATCAAAAACCTCTGAGGAACCTTATAAAAAAAAGAAAAACTACCCAAAACCTCTAAGTATTAGAATTAAAAACTATCTACAAGAACTAAATCTAACAATCCCTCAAATACAAATACGGCAGTCTAGCAAAACCCCTCCTTGGATCAGATATACTCCAATCGTTCTTAAACCAAACATTCAAAAAACCAACCTTGAGCAAAGCACTCTAAAAAACCTTTTTAACACAAAAATTAGTCACTACAGTAACTTTACTCAGATCTACACTGACGCATCAAAATCTAAACGAGGAACAGGCTGTGCCATAGTACTACCAAACAAAAATCTTGTATACAAACTACCAGACGAATTCACAATTTTCGATAGTGAAGCCTTCGCAATATTAGAAGCACTAAAACACATCAGAGGAGCCAAACTCAAAAACTCAATAATCTTTTCAGACTCTAATAGTGTGTTATCAGCCATAGAACACCAATCTCAACATCACTATCTGGTACAAAACATCTTAGAAGCATATAACGATATTAAATCAACACACGAATCCACAGAAATAATTCTCAGCTGGGTGCCATCTCATGTAGGCATCGAACCAAATGAGAAAGCTGACTTTTTAGCTAGAAACGCAGCTGAAAATCACAATAAATACATACATCTAACCCTACCTCTTAACTACAAGGAAGCCCAAAAACTGACTAAAAATGCAATACACAACGCGTGGAACGAAAAATGGCAAAATATAACACCACAAAAACTCCATAAAATCAGGGAAAATATACATGAAAAAAGCCCGGCATTAAATTTCTCAAGACAAAATCAAATCACCATAAATAGACTGAGAATTGGGCACACGAATTTAAGCCACATACACATTATAACAAAAGGAAACCCAAACATGTGCGACAATTGCAACATCCCACTAACAGTGCAACACTTAATTATCGACTGCCCTCTATTTCAAGAACAAAGAAGAAAGCATCACATACCAGAAGACCTTAACACAAGTCTCAACGATAAAGCTTCATCTGAAAACACCTTAGCCTTCCTAAAAGAAATCAATTTTCTACACCGCATCTAGACTCAAAAGTATAAAAATAGCAGTAACGTATATGTAATCAAATATACGTAACCTAGTCCTAAGTCGCTAATGACCCAGAAGAGGTTGATGCGACAAAAAAAAAAAAAAAAAAGAGAGAGATTGTGCACGGGTAATAAAACCACTCAAACTTGCATAATTTGCAAAAAATTTGTCTGCGGAAAATGCATGAAAGAGAAACCAGTCATATGTAAAAAGTGTAATTAATTGATTATTCTATTTATAAAAATAAAAATATATATTTGATTATTTGATTAGAAATCAGAAGTTATATTGCGAATTATTTCCTTTAATAAATTAAGAATTTCTTTCTAAACATCAACGTTTATTTCATTAGGGATCAAATGACCCCTTATGGTAAGAATAGGTATGTGTAAAGTACCGGTACGTTTAGTGTTAAAAACAGACAAGGGTATAGTGGAAGCCGTTTGATAAGAGACTTGCAGGAATAAGAAGGATATGAAATGTTCCAAAATTGCTGCAGAATGTCGACCGAAGATTTTAAAAAATTGCTATAACTTTTTGAACCAAAGTAATGAAAAGTGACATAAACTGTAGGAAAGATATTCTACGATTTTTGGTTACAGTAAGCCTCTATGAGTTTAATGATTTCATTACACCATTCCATTTTCATTTCACACATAATAGAACGTTCCCGGTCAGAGCAGTCGAATGCAATGAATAAATAACCGTCTATACCAGACGAGCACGAACACGTCTTTCTTTTGATGTACCGAAACCAGTCGGATCATTCGGTAAACGTGAGCAAGCGAGCAAATGCTCGTGAACGCTCAGCGGTAAACACCAAACGAGCACTGAGTGAGAATACTTGCTCGCTCCTGTTCGATCGTGCCCGCTCGCTTGGTGAGTAAGCGGCTTTACGTATGTCCGCCTTGATATTGTGCTACTTTTGTTTGAAATATGTTTTCATACAACAAGTAATTACTAAGTAATTTGAAATCATCAAGTTAGATGAATCGCCTTGTATAATTTTTCATATAAAAATTTAGATAACATAATGTAATGTAAAATGGATAATAAAGTGAAACTTAAAATAGATTCCGATGAAAACTTATTTCTAATTTCTTTTGGTAGTACAATAATGTTAAATAATGCTCAAAAATGATACACTACAAGTAAAAGCGTATAATTAAAGCAAATATATTACATAAAAGATGATGAACACTAAGAAGTTAAAAAAATGTTCCATATCTTGTGCAGCGCGATCAGATTGATTGATACCCTAGGCCCCAGACTTCACTCCTTATAGCAAATCACTTGGATTGTTATTGAAGGATTGTATTACATTTGTAGTATACTATATGTACCAAATACTATAAACTGCAGGAATGAAAGACAACGTGTCGCAGTGTCAGTAGTTCCTTGGACATCCGATGAAGCCAGCTGCAATTCGAGCTATCCAATGAAACATGAGGATAACACTTTGTAAATTTAGTGTATTCATTTTAACACTAGAACAACCGACGATTGACGTATATCTACTTCTACCTGGAGGGTCAAAATGACTTGTTTTTTAAATTAATAAGTCATTTAAGAAAAGATAACATTTATGCGTTTTTCTATATTTTCCTACTTTATGGGCGAAAATTGAATATAAACTGAATAATAACAACAATATAATAAAAATAATAATTTTAAAAATAATTACGCATAAAATTCAGACATTTTTTACAGGTTACAATTATTTTAGCAGAGCATGTATGACAGACTCGTTTATTAAATGTACCACAAATATTTTTCGTTTTATTATTAATACAATATGCTATTTGATACCGTTTACGTTTCATCGAAATATGTATGTGTCTGGTTTTGTGATGGTGTACGTGTTCTTCTGTTTCTACTGAGGACAGTATTGTTAGATTTTTGTAGTCACCTGCAAGTTCTTCGGTTAACTGGAATAAGAAGTCTTTTCTTGAAATATTTTCTCGTGTTATTTCTTTGTATAATATCCAGGCATTTATTCCAGCAAGATCTAAGACATTATAAAATACTCGTAATGACCATCTTCGGGATCCAGCTTTCACGGTATATTTTCGGGTCATTTGATCTGTCATATCTATGCTAAATTTGGTATTGTTATAAAATACCATAGTTTCAGGCAAAAGTTTACCATCTTCTTCAATTTTAACAGACTTATGTTTCGAACTCAGTAACAATAATTTTTTATTTGGTTTACTTTTGTATATAGTAACAGTACAATTTTCTGTTTGATAAAGAATTGTCGAGAAGCGAGGCATCTTATCCTGTTTTGATTTTGCAAGATTAGGTAATTCTCTCTTATTTTGTCTAACGGTGCCAACTAAAGAAGTTCTTTTAGTTACCAGTTGTGTTGCTAATGACAAACTTGTAAAGAAATTATCTGTTGTTACTGTTCTCCCGCGACCCATATATGGTTCCATAAGTTTTAGGATGACAAATTCACCCACAGGTACTGATAATCTCACTTCGTCTTTTCCTAAGTAAGGAAATGCATTTACAACATATTTACTTTTTACATCCGACGCCAACCAGAATTTCATACCAAACTTATTCGGCTTGTTTGGCACATTCTGCGTAAATCTACATCTGGCTTTGGTCGGGAATAATTGTTCATCAACAGTAATGGCAGCTCCTGATTTATAACACATTTGGCTATGTTCAAAGAATTTATTCCACACCTCTGAAACTAATCCAAATTTATCTGTTTGGAATCGTTGGCTTCTTTTATTTTTCTTATCAAAACAAATTATCCGAAGAATTTCGGCGAATATATCCATGCTCATTGTTTTTGAGAAAAATTCAGGTCCCCATCTTTTGGACCATAAAAATAACCCCACGGGTATATGAAATTTCTATAAATGCATTCAACTCTGCTAACAATAGAGTCCAGTCGTTATCTAGAATTCGACGGGCTTCTGCATCAGTGTAAGTTTTTATATGTCTCATAACACTATTGCAGAGTATCAAAGAAAATACTGTTCTTACACTACCTTTCATGATATATTGTTTCGTATATGCCGTTGGTCCTGTCACTTCTTTGAAAATGTTGTGCAACGGTAATCTTCCTGGCGTTGAGCCTTCTTGCCGTCAATAGATATTCCAGTATCCTGATCTATCACTTTAATTTTCGGAATTAGAGAAAACTTGGACTCTTTTTCTTTTTTTATGCAAACCTCGAAATCTTTCATCTTCACTGTCAGTATCGGATGACTCGATTGTACTTTCGTTGTATGATAGTGGATATTCATTTTCACTGTCTACTAGATCATTTTCATCATAGTCAGTATCAGAACCATTTTTTTCTAAATTATTTTTTTTTCCAGTAATTTACTGCTTCGTGAAAATTTTCCCATAGTTTCTAAGTAATTTTATGGGTTAAAATATTTCTGCAGATCACGATAAAAAGTAGAATGCCAATTTTCTAAAAGTATTACGGCACAAAATAACGTTTCCTCTGTAAGTGTTTCTTTCAGACTAAATGCGAAATACTCTCTGCGATGCAAGAGCATCGAAAACAGAAGCATATCGATATACACATGCGTCACATGTTTTTATAAACATGCGAAGATATTGTTACGGCCACGTAACAATATATAGAAAGTAAAAGAAGAATGAAAAAATTAAGGAAACATAATATATGTATCTTATGGCAATTTTTGTATAATCGTATATGTATAAAAATATACTTAGTTTTCTATAAATGTATTTGAATTGTACGAAAATAATATGAGAAATTCCTGTAATCACAAGTTTACCTACGTTCCCTGGTGGTCAAAATGACTCATCTCAGTATATGTAGGTATACTAAATAATCTTTTACAACACAAAAAAGACAAGAAACAAGAAAACTGCTTTACAGAATTGATTATTTACATATTTTAGAAAAAGTCATACAAAATTTCAATGCAAAAACAAAATGTACTGGAAATGAGTAATAATCATAAGAAATGACAAACATGACATTTTGACCCCCCTTGGTAGATCTAGTGTTAAAAAACACTATACGACAATCTATGCTGAATCGGCCAGATTCACACGGTACAAAGTGACATAGTGCGGTTGATCTGGATTCTGCTATAGATATTGGGCTGGAGCATATGAAACTGCCAAAGGCAAGCATGTAACGTTAACTGCTTCCATAGCAAAAATAATCAAGAATCGTCAAAACGAGTATACAAACGCTTTTGAAACGAAACTAAAGAAAAGTGCAACCAATGTTAATAAAATGAAAGCATATAATTAAAAAGAAAAGTACAACCAATACTAATGTAACGAAAGCATGTTATATTACACAAATGATATAACAAAAAGTATACAAATAAATATGAAATATTAAGTTCTGCCGTATTCCCTACATTCATCAAATTATCCACCAATACATTTTGATTTAGCTTAAAGTTTCTGATTTTTTTTATAAAAACCCACCAATGTTTACTGCCAACGCACAGTTCGCCTAATTAATTGCCGAGGAGCATGTAGGTACACAAGCCAATATTTGTTTTGATAAAATTTCGAAAGTTAACGGTAAACACGTTTTTCATTCAGCTGTTCTCATTCAAAACGACGGATTCATTAGCATCAATCAAATACATACCTCGTTAACAACGTAGGGATGTGTTTATGATTAACGCTCGAGCAACCGATAGAGTTCGACTCGACTGATCTCGTCTAAAAATACAGACCACGTAATCAATCTTGAGTTGCGTTTCTAATAGCACCTGCTGGAAATTCAGCAGTCTGACGGCTAATAAAAAAAAATTCCAGAACAAATCCGCAAATCAAACGCAGGATGAATAATAAATCGCTGTTGAATCATTCAGCGATACTCTATCCCCATCGATTGTGAAGGGGTTATATGTATACCCAGAATGAATGCTAATACGAATATGAGCGGGATCCTATGGATTTGTTCCCGATCCAACGGCCATGAGGCACAAGATCGAGTGGCTCTGGTGTTATAAAGACGGAAGAAAGTTGATAGATATATCTACCAGGCACCCAAGGAGTCACTGATACAGTTACGGGTCTCTGGTCGAGCGGAATCAATCTACGAAGTAGTCTCTTTCGATCGGGAGCAATAAGTTGACGGTTAATTAAGTTTTACCGGGAGACGGCGTGCAATCGAGAAAATGTTTTCTGCCCACGGCTGCAACCGAGTGAAAAAGAAAAACTAGTCGTGCACGTTCACGCAAAATCACTAACGGTGATTTATCACAGTGATCGCCGAATCACGACCACGGTCGTGATTTAACTTCATTTACGACCGTGATTGCGATTATTTTATCTTGAGTGAATTTGCTCACTGCGATCGTAAGTCCTTAATCTTTAAACAGAAAAACGTATTCAATATGATTTTACGATGAATTACATTACTATTCGTGTTTGTAAAAATCAGTAGAAAAAACAAGAAATTCTAAAAGAATGATTTGCTAGGTAACATGTAGATTATAATTTATAATCATTAATTTATTCATTATTCTTCATTGTTTCTAATTATTCCTTTACTTTATACGATATAACTCGAATTTTTGTTTTAATGTCGTTAATATAAAATATACAGATTATGTGTCGCGTGTAAAGAACTGTTAGGTTTCTCCACCAATCAGAAACGATCACGAGAAATCACGAATCGCTGTGAAAAATCACCGTGATTGGGAACGAACGTGATCGAATCACCAGTGATTCACAAGTAGCAGTTCACGCCATCTCTAATCACTACTAATCCCCCGCCGATGTTTCTGGAGAGAGAGAGAGAGAGAGAGAGAGAGAGAGAGAGAGAGAGAGAGACGCACACGACCACGCGCGTTCGAACCAGATCGAACGGGCATGGTCAAGGCACCGTAATGTAACTGAAATCTTTACTTTCCCGGCACGGTAAACTTGAAAACTGTGGTACCTTGAGAGTGTGTTCGTAGAGCACATTCGAGTAGCCATGAAACACGAGCCAGAGAAAACTAGATTTATCGAACCGAGTCAAACACTTCGTTTGTCTGACTTCGAGCACTTCGAATTGAACTGAAATAGCTCAAGAAATTGATCCGTGGTATTGGATTTAAAAGATTCGGACCTTAACAATAAGCGGGGGAATGGTACACCTAATATGTACCACGGTGGCCAGACTGTGGCCCTTCTAGATAATCAATATAGCTCTCGTAAACTTACAAAATTTCTTTTTATAAACTTGATAAAAAGTTATGCACAAATATTCAATCAAAAAACAGTGGTGAAGATACTACATTTTTCATAGTTTCATCTTCTTGTTCCCCTGCCTTCCTTCAATATTTAACCGAGGTACACGCTTTTCACATAATGAACCACTTATTTCCAGTAACTATCGCTGGTACTACATGTTTTAACACGGACGATTTTAAAGGAATTAACAACGAAAATATAGCAAACAGAGACCACTAAAAATAAGTATAAAGTTATTTATTGTTGCGGAGGTTACGAAGAAAGCGGGGCAATAGTGAAACACATCGCACTTCTTTAAACAGTCCCTTTAATTAAAACAATGAATAGACTAAGCCAGCGCTGGGCAGCGTCGGAGCACCTCACGCGCCTATTTCCCCTTCGAATCTTTCTTTCACACCGCTTACCTTTGTGGAAACAAAGAAGTCCAGGCTCTTGTCTCTGTCACTCCATGGTAACAGTGGACGGTGGTGGGGACAAGTTTTAGCTCCCGGGAGCCAACTTTGCCCACCGCTGTAGATTATACTATGCGGAGACGGTGCAACTTTTTCAAGGTTTCCCCCGTTAAAAAAATAAATTTTAAAAATGGAACACAATAAAAGATAATACTTGGGTGTAGATCGTAATCGATAATGGACCGAACTGAACTACACTGGATTGAACGTATGTCGTCACGCTTCAGTCTAATTATGATATTAAAATTGTGCCGTAAGATGACACCGCTTCTATGGTTCAGCCGCGAATCGCATGTATACAAAAGTATTTTTCCCAACATATTTATAAAATCAATTTTATTATGTAAGAAAAAAATATTTCAACCGTCTAAAATTAAAATGAGCTAAAAAATTAAATAGTTTAGAAGTAAATTATTCATAAAATTAGTTTTACTATAAAAAAGAAGAACAGACAATAGCCGTTATTCAATAGAAAAACGTGTCGCTCGTTGCATGACAGCTTGTTGAACATGGTGGTCATGTGACACCATAGATGTCAGCCCAAACGATCTACGAACTATGTACCTACGCGCGCAAGACTTGTCATTAGACACTAATAGCTGAGAATCGGTTCGGCGGGAAGAACGAATGACTTGTTTCATTGTGCTGCATCATTTCCCGACTCGTAAAGCACCCACGAGACACTCCGGGCCGAAGCAATGAGGAAGCACCATCGGAACAGATGGAATGTCTATTTTGCTTTCGCGTTTTCATACGTACATACGCCCCGAGCACCGGCGACCAATCAACACAGACAGAAAATCTTTTCCTGATACGTGCGGCGAATCTTCGGTCCCGACAAATATTTTTCTACACAATAGAAACGCACGACGCATTAATTAACGCGTGATATGTGCTTCACGGGACAACGTAAAAGTGTTCCGTGACAGAAAGTTATATTCATTTTCGAAAAGTCGTAATTCATCCACGGGAGATTGAGGTTAACCGTCACGGTTTCCAGAATCGTGTAACTTTAGATGTGGGTCGTCGGTAATGAAAGAGAAAGTGTTTTTGTAAATAGAAAACAAGTTCAGAAATAGTCATTACCCGATCCTCAAGAAGATAAAAAGTTGAACTAAAAGTTATCTTCGCAGATATAG